TAAAATCACTAACGTTCAAGGGAGTAGTGGTTAATTGTTATCCTTAAAGATTTAAATTAATGTATTTATTAGTATATATATTTAATAACGGAGCAGTATTGAGCGGGCGTCTCTCAACTCTGAGATCGTCTATTCTAGTCACGGTGCAACAATGGACTTTTCTTTCTATGTATACAATTAACAGTCGTACGGCAAACATCGTAAGGATACAGGCATGTTTTAGACCCAAAAATCGACGGTGTGAGGACATCTGAACACTCTAGAACAATACTTGGTGGTTGTAGCACCACTTTTAAATATACAAAACAATATACTTATTTACATGACATTTCGAATGATTTTTAGCAGTGTCAAGAATGTGAGATTATGGTTTATTTGTCATGTTCAAAATGTTTTTATAAAAGACAAAAATTGCAGCAGTAAAAACCACTGGTTCGGTCACGGCTTAATAGATCTGGGAAAGAAACAATAGTTTAGATATTAAAATTACAATTTCTTACTCCGCAGAATGTTTGGTCTGTGGAATAAATACTCGTATAACAGAAATGTAATATAAGCTACGATTCTAAAGTAAACACAATTCACCCCAAGTGTACATAACACGTAAATATTTCATGAAGCAACAGTGACCATAGATCGAGCCAAAACCCATTCGCGGGGCTTCAAGCGTGAGTTTTATTTCTATCACATATATAATTGAATGAAAATATCTTGCTCTGGATGCGAGCCAGGAGCAACAGTTGTTAACGTTTGGATGCACTGGCACAATCCCTCAGATAACTGCTTTTGGCAAACCGCTTGAGCACTATTGTTTGATAGGTATAATAGTCCTAAGTTAATCTATTTCCTATATAAATTTAATTTCTGAGTAGTTGGCATGTTCGAATGCAGATCATGAATCTTGGGTTTTATCGCGGAGTGGGCGAAAAATATAGAAATGCGATTGCGATATCATTTTCTTATTATTATTTTTAATTTCGTGTAGAAGACATTTCTTCTGCTTTTTTTTATTTGTGATTATGTTGTAAAAACAACATGCATTACTTTATGTTGTTTTATTGTTTTGTATTGTATACCTTTATATAACTGATTGAGTTACTGTCATTGAGTCACTAACCTAGTCTTTATTAAAATGAGACGTTTTACTTTCTTTCAATGCATAATAACTGCAAGCTTTTGCAATAATATCTACTTGGTTTTCTGCCGCAAAGACATTGTATAAAGGCCAGTGTGACATTTAAGATAACACGCAGGTACCTTCAGTATCTATACACCTTATATTGTCTATTAAAATCGTTAGAAAGGATTAGCGCAATTCTATTCGTATCAAATATCGTGCACATATTCTTAATATTTATTCTAGATTAATGTTTAAATGTTCATTGTATTATATAGAAGTCATTAGAAATACACCATGCGTGCAAAGATAGTATTTATTACACTTGCCCCAGCTTCAAAAGCCCATATACCTAATGCGACGACCTACAAAACAAGGGCATTCTTACGTCCGTATCCTAGAAGCTCTCTTACGCAAAAGCTTTAAAGCGCTAGATCCTGTTTCTGTATACGTATATCGATTTGACATATTATACATTAATTCGAATAAGTAAATAATTAAATCATATAGTAATATAAAACTAGATGTCTTTAAATTTATACTAATTTTATAATTTTTTATTCTCTAATTGCCATAAGTATTTCTCCCAGTTTAGGAAATTCATAAAATTTTATCGGCAGATTTTAATTTTTAAATCACATCTGTACACAAATGTACAAAAACTATGTAATTATTTTTACAGGCAAAATAATATAATTAATTAATATTTGTAATATAAATTGAATAAATTAAATTGCAATTTTTAAAAACAGGCACAGAATAGATAAATAATGATTTTATTTAATTGTAGTGTCTATGCCATTCGGAGCATAGAATAAAGCTGTCTAAGGAGGCAAAAAAGTATTTTACGGTACGGTGGGAGGAGGTTTGTAAATGAAACTCACAAGTTACAAAACAACATTTACTTAATGAATACATAGTCACGACCTGGTTTCATTCATAGATAATTACATTTTAATGTAGTACCAACAATAGGGCAACTTTTTTTGCAAACTTAATAATAATTATTAAAACGTAAAAGTAGTTTATATTTACATTTTCCATAGATAAACGTCGATTTTTCAAATGACGTCTTCATAAGCAATACGTTTAATGTATGTCGTCGTCCTTATTATAATACGTAGACTGTACCAAGCTCGTTACCATGGTTACCGTCATTAGAAAAAAAAAACATTCTACGTGTTATTATAAAGCCGTTTGGGAGAAATTTTGCTAAGTATCACAGAACAAAAAAGTTTAATATAACATCTAGGATAAAACATATTACTTTAAATGAATCATATAATATTTAAATAATCAATATTTTCTTATCTATTGTTAAAAAAAGTAAGAATAATTTAAGAATCCAAGCACTTAAACTATGCCAAATTATTTCTAATTTAAAGACACATCTTCAGTTATTTAAAGAATGTTTCACTTCCCTTATTTATATGAAAAGTAACACGAGAACGAAAAGGACAAAGCATTTGATAGCTATTTGAGGCTACATATGTATTTAATATTTAGATTCATGTAGTTCTGTTCGTAATACAATAGTAAAAAACCAAACATTAACTTATTTAATTATAAATTAAAACCTAAAGGCGTACTAATGGATTAATAATGCACGAAAACTAGATAAAACAATTTTCCAATAAAAAAATACACGTGACACGTGATAGTGAATTTTTTAAAACAACGCCATCTTACTGCTACACGTCTTACGACATATGATACCATTAGATGGCGTTTTAATAAATTTACACGAAATTTAAGTGGGGCTTGAGTCAAAGTCAATGTTCTACACTATGTGAATGACTACAAATTCGCTTGGCGTTAGTGAGTCACGCCTGTCGAAGAGTGATTTTGTCTCAAGCCCGTAAACACAATAACCATAGTAACACATTTTACATAACTATGTATAACGTAATAGGCAAGAAAATTATACCCACAGATATATATAAAGACAAGTTTCAATATACACTTAATTTTATTAGACTATCCTATATAAGTACCTGTTACTTAGAGTCGTTCATTACAAGTTTTAAGCCTTAGTAAAGATTGAATGAATTAAAATCCACTTCCCTATTCTTGAGTCAATTAATAGTCGGGCATTGAATTGTATATAATTAATTAAAGATGTAAACTAATGAACGATTATGAGTAGCGTAAGTCTTATATACAACAAAAGCAATCTTACAACACTGCTTTAATGAAGTTATTACGTCCTAGTCTTGCGACTAATAATTGTCGTCTTATAATTTTTATTTAAATTTCACAAATAGCGCAAAATTTTATCATTTATGTTCATTTAAAACGGTGTTATAGGAGTGATTTAGCTGCTATGCAAGGGTGAGATAGTGTCCAGACTTAGTGTATGACCTTCGTAGGTCAAAATGTATTAAAACGAGATATACTGTGCGGCAAGTCTCTTGAATCTAATATCTTCATAAACTATAGAGTCCATGAATATATTGTGTAAAATTACTGATTGTCTAACGTGGGAGCTACCCCTTAGATTCAGTGTTGACTTAGCGATAAGTATGACTTTTGTAAGTCAAATTAAAACGTTTTTAACAGACACCAAAGCTTAGTCTTCATAATCTAAACGTAAGAGGGACTATTTTATAAGATAAAAGTTTGTTGGGAACATAATAAAACTTGAATACGGCCTTATACTTAACCATAGAACAGTGTACTTTTGAGTAACTAAAAAATAATGACAAAGTTTCAGAACGTGGTAAAACTTTAATTTACTTTCCAAGAGATGCGTTTTTAGGTTTTTGTTTCTACGTTAGCAAAAAAATTTACAAAACTCGCCTCGTTTCACGAAAACCGTATTATTTAAATTGTATCTTATATTTGATTCACGTCGTACACATCTATATTGAAATATCGTAAAATATCCTAACCTTGTACCACACTAACAAAGTTTTTGGATATACCTATAATTTCGTCAATTAAGGTAAGTTCAAAAATATAGCAAATTATGAGTAAATTGCAATACAATTCTGGATTTCAGGTTCGTCAAGACAAATTGGTAATTTCATTAGAACAATATTTAGTTTGATTTATATCGTTAAAACTCATTGGCGAAACTTAGCCTTATCTCGATGTGAAACGTTCTTTAATTAAACGTCATTAAATTAACTGCAGTTTAGCTATTTTATATAAAACACCCAATTAACCTTTGTGTCTAAGGGGACTTCGAATTAATCCTATACACCAACATCTATTGGATTATTTGAGACTTGAGTCACACAGATAAGATTTCTACAACATTCATTATTCTAATTAGTTTTATATTACAAAAACCCCGTTATTTATAAGAGGCTTACAAACCTCACTGTCTACAGTAGGGCTAATAGATGACATTTGACATCTGTCAGTTTTGGCTTTAGGTTGTGATCTATTAAACTGGCCCCTACTTTAACAATGTGTCTAAGCTGTGATAAATAAAAAAACTATCGACTAATTAGACAAATTCATTGGTGATGAATGATTGATTGCAATAAGATGATAAAGTGGTCTTGTAATTATCTATTCATGTTATGTAAAATAAAAATTATTACACGATATCTGAATTATAGCTATTTTTTATCCAGCTGCACGAATAGCTCAATAAAAATTGTTTTATTATGAACCTAAAACAGAATTATAAGTAGTACACCTTAAGTAGCCAATTTGTCCCAAGATTATTAGATTTTTTTTATAGGACAAAAATATTTTGTTGTTGTCGGACTTGTTACAGAGATTGTATTACACATATTTTGAATGATACCTAATGAAATAACCTAAAACTTCATACTGTAGTTGTGTTAACAAAATGAAAAAAAAAACAAAACAAATTCCCTTTTTATACGAGATCAATCATTGCATTACCATAAGACGTAAAATTTCAAAATTAATAATCGAGTGCCCACTCGTTTTCCTGCAGGAAAGCATCGACAACCTCCTTCATTGTGAAGTTAGGTATGAGTTGATCTGCGGTTAGCTTCACACGAGTCACTGGGTCGAAATGTCCAACGCGCTACAACGAAATAACAATTATATGTATGCAAGCAATCGGTGCAAAATAAGTTCAATCTATAATAATATTATAAAGAGTTAAAGTTTGTGAGTTTGTAGAGGGTAATATCTGGATCAACAGAACCGATTTTGACATTATTTTACCAATAGAAAGCTACGTATAACTTTAAAAATATATAAAAAACAAGTCCTCCACTGTGTCATCAATATATAGAATGATTCATAAGGAAGGTAGTATACCCAAGTATATAATTTTTAAGGTTTACGGGTAACGGTTGCCCGGTTAGCCAGGGCGGGTCGCTCATCTTGTCATTGTCAGCATGGCTGTCATAACTCGCAAAAGAAAACAGTCTGATCGCATAAAGGAACAATCTGTTCCTGATTACCTATGCTCCACTTTTGAATAACATTTAAGTTTTATTCATTATCTTTATTAAAGAGAAATTATATTGCTTTTAAATACTTTTGTTTGATTTGGTCGATGCGATCCTTGATTGATTATTCACGAACTTATCTACCTTCACTACTAGTAAATTAAATTATCGAGACTACAAAAACCACTAACACTTTGAAATTAAAAAAATATCATCGTGCCATAGAGTTGCAAAATGTACTACTTTACTTATTCTTTATTTTGATTATTCTACATTTGTAACAGAAACGATAGAACCCACTTCCACACTCTTTTTAATCAAACAAAAGCTTCATAAATATATCCAACAAACTTGAATAAGGTCTTATTCATATATTTAATAACTTGTTATGGCAATAGCCAAACAGACGCGATAGTCTATCTAGAATATTCACTGGCACTAAAGTATATTTCTGGTACACGGACACAGGTCCAATAAACAGAGATAATGCTGTCCTACTGAAAGCGTTGAAAGGACGACCACATACGCAATTTGATGATATATTTCGTAAAATATTGGGAAATTTATGACGGCGGCTAAAAGAAGAGTGGGGGAAGCTTTTGGCACGTGGCAAGCGTATAAGGACCTTGTTATTATATCTTTAGAAGAAACAATATTGTAAATACCAATATCGTCCATAAATGGCTTTTATTATAACTAAAATAGATTAAGTACAACTTGTAAGCTCACGAATATAACTTAAAGAGAAATCACATGGATTTTGATCTACGATTTTGATTTTCGCAAACATTGCTACGAGTTGTTTTGACAACTCGTAGCAATGTTTGCGAAACGTTGGGACAATTACACACACTAAAAAAAATATAAGTAGGTTTAAAAGAATATTATATATTCATTTTCTTTTGGGTTCAAACAGCTATCTTATGAACTGAAAATACCTATTGCGTAATATAAAGGGAAAAAAACATACAAACAGAAACTAGTATGAAAGTATAAAAAAAATTTTTTTTTAGTTTTTTGCTATAATACATACCTCTAGGTGTTCCTCAATATCTTTACGTTCGTATGTGATACCGCTGGGCGTAATCACAGGCTCATTCAATATCTCAAAGCTGATTTTGCCACAGAGGAAATCCGGTACGTCGCGTTTCTGAAATAAATTTATATAGTTATGACTTTCGTAGAATTATAATAATTAATAAAATAATAGAATTAAGTTTCTTTCATATCAATCAATAACTTGAATAAAAATCAAAAGAATATTAATATTCACTTAAGCGAGAAAGTTTGTGTTATTTAAAAGTCGTATACAACTGGGAAATTTAAAGTTTTTATGTTCTAATATAATTGATGTGTATATGTATGTGTGTTAAATTTGTGACGTCCTATTTTTTTGGCATACACAGTGTTTTAGAACTCAACACTAATATTAAAAAGACTAAAGTAGTAATATTAATAAATAAAACCTAAAATTGCTTTTTTTTTAAAATTGCTAAAAAAATATTTTTATTTTCAAGCCCGAGTTGCGGTACAAAAACATCTAAACTAAACAGTTATTTTTTATATTAATTTGTTTAGGTTCAAAGTTTACTTGAAAGAGAAAGCTTAATAAAGAAGGCTTTCAATACAAATTTACAAGGAAATACACATAAATCTTTCGGCCCCATTGTACTTAAGAAAAACAAAATCTTACCCTTCGCCGCTCATCGATTTTGGAAAACAGATTATTTAACTCGCTGCTGTAGTTATTCTGTAAAAAATATTAATTAAATCCTTTTGACTCAAGTAAAAATAAACATCTTTACACAATTTACAAGTAAACCAATTAGTTGAATACTGCGTATATTTGATACTATTTTCTTACGATACAACCTAATGAATTAAGTCCACCTATTGTACGTAACACTGACGCAAAATCACGTCATTGCACAAATGAGATTATCCTTTTCTGGTAGCAAGTAGTAACACTAGAAATAACTTGTAAGTCATTCAGAATTTTATCACGAAAGTAAAATTTAAGTAGATTTTGTTACTTTGCATGTCAACCAAACCAATCCAAGTTAATTTTTATCTATTGTTCCATAAATTTTTGTTTAAATTTTTATTAAGTAATTTATTTAAATTTCATTAATGTTATTATGCCTAACATGAAATAATCAAACAGCTCTTACATGTCTCACAGAAGAATTCAGTAGTACCAGATAGTACATTTATGTCTGGGACTACTCACAAAAATATATTGTTTAGCATGGAACAATTTTTGTGTCAGTAAATTGTGTATGTAAAATTCTAAATGTAATACTTACACATTCTTCTTCAGCCTTTGTTATTTTTGAATTGGTATCTTCTTCATTTATATTGTCTAATTTTATTGATTCTATTCTACGCTGTAAATCTTCATTAATTAGCCTACAAGAAATAAATACTATTATTCCAATATGCAGTAAACATATATTCAATACCACAATAATATAATAAAGCAACTTGTTAAAGAATAATGTATTTTTTATTCTGTGAATGAAAAACAACATCTGTGGTAGCAATAATAAAATTGCAATATTAAATGTCTGACGAGGTACGCACAACAGACCTAATAGGAGTTTAAGTGTGGAAACTGAGTCCATTAACCAATGTCTGAAGAGGCTCTTCCATTGTTAAACAAAATACTATGTGATATAAAATACTGAAAATGGAGATTAATAATTTGTGAATTTCTCGTCAGTTAAACTACATGAAAAATTTTCATTATAATCTTACAAACACAATTTAATCACCTATTCAAATATGTCTGTAGTTCAATCTCCTGTGATATCCTCTTTTCTTCCTGAACATTCCATCTCTTTTTTCTAGCAATTCTTATTTGAGCAGCTATATCATCACCAAAGTTTAATTTCTGTTCTCTGGCTAAATCATTAGCTAAAAAGGATATACATAAATCATATATGCTGAAGAGACATCATAATAATGATTGATGATGATGATATCTATTGGGAGTTTTGGGTAACAAACTTAGTTTAGGGTAACACTTGTATTATTTCCTTTGAAAGTTGTAATGATAAGCCATTGCTATACTCATTTACAGTAAAATATTGAATTCTTTAAATATAAATTCTTATCTACACAACTTCTCATATTGCATTATAAGTACTGAATCTAAAAATTACTATAACATCATTAATAACCCACAATCTCTTATATACTGTTGTTGTTAATAAAACACATGTTTACCTCTATGTAAATGTTTAATAGCCTCATCATAGCAATCAAGTTCAACCAGAGCCTGCCCCAGAAAGAAATGGCCCTTTACTTGGTTGCTGTCTATGTCAAGTGCTCGACGGCAGTCCTGGCAAGTAGCATCCCATCTTTTCATCTTCAATTGGCATAATGCACGATTTGTGAAGTATGTTGCAACTGAAGGATTTTTTATCTACAAAAATAAACATTTTTTAAAATTACAATGAGGTAAATCCTGCTACATGAGGAGGAAAATATACTGTAAGAGAATGAAATGATACCTAGGAATGCTGTGTAGAAACCACATACAAGATTGGTTTGGATTTTTTACAGCATAAACACCTCATTTAAACATACATTTTGAAGTACTACCAAAAAAAATATATCGAGTCAGTAATGTTGAAAGAATGTTGGTAATTTTATATAAATACAATATAAAAATAAAGTTACTTTTCTAGTTCCAAAAGGCTATTCAAGAGATGTTAGCCAGGAAATAAGTATTTGACCATGAATCTATTTTAACTGGAATTTTTTAATACTTACAATAGCTTTCGTATAACAATTCATAGCATCTTCGAAACGTCGTAAGCTAAAGAGTCGATTTCCTTGTTCCTTAAGTTCCTTGTCGGTCAAATTAGCAGTAGAATACATATGCTTACTCATTTTAATTTTTAAGATGATTACCAGACACTTTTTTAGGATTCAGATAACTTTCATTATATTTTTTATTTGTCCAATCAACTATAACTCTACACCTTTAATATACCACAAGTCATATAAATTTTGCACTTATCAGTCGTTTTAAAACAATTTTATTATTAATTTTACAGGACAATAAGAGAAATCGCCATTCGTCGATCGCCAACAATAGAAAAATTGAATGAAATGACAACTGAATACTGATTATTCTTGATACATTCGATTTCTTTGTTTTGACGCCAAAGAACGTCATTTTGCTGTCAATTAGACATATGACAATCAGTAGAGATTTTTACGCCTGTCTATATTTTATTGATTGCAAATTGCCGCTCATATTTAAACCTTTTAAAGTATTTACAATTTTCTTAACCTACATAGTAATAATAATAATAATAATTAAGAATGAATAAATAAAAAATTTAAATATATTTCAAAAGTTTAAACCTTCAATAGTGTTTAACGCTGGCAGCATAAGTTTTTTTATGCTTCTAAAAGACGAGCACCTGTTTCACCAACACCATATGATGTTAAATCTTTGAGATGTTGTTGTTGTGGGGTGACAGCCCATCCAGGGGGCTTAATCAAGATAAGGCACGATACGAACTGTCATTTCCATACAAATTTACCTTTTGACTTTCTACATACACTACTGTTAAGGCATCTTGACTAAGGCCCCAGGCCAGCAGCTGAACATTGTTTAAATTAATTTATAGCGTATAGATATCTCCCGTAGACTGAATTTGAAGGCAGGTCTGGACATCTGTGGGAGGGTCTAAAAAGGTGTGTCTGGAGCACTGGGATGTTTTGACGAAAGGTGTATTCGGGGTGTCAGGGTCCAATATATTATTTGACAAAAAAACGTCTTTGCCCCCTTTAGATCTTCTTCCTTTTTTTTGTTCTACTATTTTTGTGACATATATATTATGGTCTTTATCTAAAAGTTTTATTAGCCGGAATTAAAAATGGATTTAGACTCGTGGGATCATTACAATTATTTTTGAGTTTTTCCGTTATCATTGGACTGTACGATGTACATGCAAGAAACAATAAGGAAAAGTCAATAATTTTTCCCACGATTCTGTACTGTTTTCTGTGATACAAAATTTAATTCCAATGAAGAGGCGATGGAGATCCGAGCACCCCGAGGTAATCGTTCAAACAACTGGAAATTGTTTTTTTTAAATTGGCAAGTAACGTTTGAAGTTTGATGAGGTGTGGTGTGAATTTTTAAAGTGTCTCTGTGTAGTTTTGTTTTGTGCCTTGTGTGTATTTTTAAGCCCCGGATTGTATTAAAACATTTTCTACATAGGTCAAGTTATCGATAAGTACACTCCGTGATTATGAAAAATACCAAATAAATACACTTAAAATAGGACAACACAAATAAATATCTACATGCCAATAATAAAATTATGCAAAACAAAAAGAACAAGTGTTAACGTAAGCACAGGAATAAGCAGGGGTACATGCACAAGCACAAATTTAAAAGAGAGAGAGACACAGACTTCAGGTTTAGAATGAAGCAAATCTCGTGAGTCCACAATGAATTTGTCCGTTTCTCAGACTTAAAACTACTCAATTTTTTCTCATTTCATGTTTTACATAATTTAATTTTTATTTTGTTTATTTCCATGCATTATATTTAATAATTTCGCTTTATATTCTATAGGTCTACCAGGATCTGATGGCAAAAAGGGAAAAAAGAAATTGACGCTAGCAATACTGGGGAAATTGGAGTAAAACGTTTTGATACTTTTTTTTTCCTTATAGCGGCTGATTCTGTGTGTGATATATGCAAAATATATAAAAATTTATCCAATGATAATTTTTGAAAATGTGGCGAATGTGGGGTTTGAAATTTAGATGAAAACTCCAATTACTCTGTTCATGAGTTTATTAATTAATTAAGAACTTTAAAATGGTTCCAAATACTGCACATCCATAAAAAAGTCTTCAACGCAGTATTTATAATAAACCTTTCCTCCTGCATCTCAATTAACCGATCTTGTTCTATGAACTTATTTTAAATTTTTATTACATGTTCACAAGATTTTCGCTATTCATCGATCCCTATTTGAGAGAAAGAAACAATGTAAAACTCATTTATCTTGTTTCTGATCAATTCTAAATCAAAACTATCCAAGTTTATTTGTGGTATAAGAAACCCCTGAAATAAACCAAAATTTAGTATAAGTACATAATATAATACACACGAAGAATCCCATAAACCAAAGTATCAAGACGTGTCATTCCTACTAACCAGTCAACGCTTGCACATGGCTCAATATCGATGATTGTGTATGTTCTGCATCTTGTTGATCAAGTATTCTTTGATAAACATTGAAAACAATATGTCTTGCTTGCGATCGAAGAGGTTTCTTCGACATTTTCATCACTTTTTAAAGGAAATTTGAAGCCAAACCAAAAACAATTCCTCGAAATTTCAGTTGACAGATGAAATTTTTCTTTTATTGCCATATGAAAATCGCTAATTTAAAAAAAAAAAAAATTGCCATCAGATTCTGGTAGACCTATATTTTGTTCCATTATTTATAAATATTTTTTATATGTTGCTTTTACGATTTTGCAGTCTGTTTTTACAGTTTTAAAGTAAAAATACATGAAACCAACGTTACATTATCAGCTAAGTTGGAATAACCCCAAAATATATGTCGCTCAAGATATCATGACAGTTATTGATAGACAGTATATTAAAATACATTTTTGTAATAAGTAAAATAATATTCGTTTCGTGGACAATTTATCGCAACAATTGTGTGCCATTCGAATATTGAGCGAATAAAGTTTTTAACATTTAATATAAATTTGTTGGGAAAATATACGAGGGTACTTTAGTGACTGGATAGAGAAAAGATAGATCCTTGTTCCATCTACTGTACCGTTTCTTCTCTAAATCCTTTGGAGTGAGACTAAAACAATATTAAATATAACAGGTATGCATAACATAGTACTAATTAACATTTTAAATAATAAGGAATAATAATTTTAAAATTAAAATGGCAAGTGTTAAAATGATTGTTTGGTTTTAATTTATTACAGGATAAACTTACTTCAATGTAGGATCCGAAATAAGAGGATATTCTAATGGTATTTTAATGTTATAGGTCATAAGAGGACACGGAAAGTTCAAGTTTGCCAATGGTAATATACCCTCATTATCTTTTTGAATCTAGAACGAATATATATTTTATAGCAGATTAAAGAATATCCTAGAAATAGGGTAATATATTTTAATACTAACAAGGTCTTCCTTATATAACTTTAGAATGTTAGAACACCATTTCCATATATTCTCGTCAGCTGCTCCGCGTTGGTCTAATCTTTTGTGTAGATCTGATAATTTTTTTATTGGCTTGAACGTCTAAAAATAATTCAATCCAAATTATTCGTAAAGTATGAAATTATATTTCTCGTGTTTAACTGTGTGCAAAATGGCTAAGGCAATACTTTAATCCAATTATACAATTAACTTAAGACTATTAGAAATGTATGCCTAGATAGTCACTGATTTATATACATCCTCACAAAATATATGGTAAGATTCAGAAACGATACGAGTGAAAATGTATTTGATTTTGACACTTGGAATATAATCTCAGTCCTACAATCTACGGCTACAATCAATACTATAGTCCTTTTCATGAAAGAAGTCCCCCAGACGCGGCGCTGCAATCGCATAACGTAATGTTGCCATTTATGAGTAAAAAAATTACCTATTTTATTTACATTTAGCAGATGTAATTTATCAAATAATATTATTTTATGCATACTTCGATGAAACAATATTTATGTTATGTAAAAAGTATATTTTTATTTACTTATATTAGCGGTGTTCTACCTACTTACAGGGAAAAGATGAGAAAATAGGGTAAAGAAAAGCAATACAATTTTTTATTCAGAGTTTTATTGCATAATTGTTGGGTTACAATTTTTTTCAAAGTACACTCCGCTGTTATACCTTCGTTTGTAATTCTTGTTATAGTTTTCTCTGACACACCTGCAATTAAATTATGAACAATTAAAAATAATAGTAACTTTAAGTTTATAAAATATGAAATGAATATAAAATATGAAAATATGCTTATGAAATATGTAATATATGTTTTAATTTGAGTTACCTAGTTTCATCACGTTATGTATTTATTCAATTTTGTCGCAAAACCGAATTTATATCATAAAAGTCCCATCAATACAGCAAAAAATTATTAAATGGCAACTCTAAAAAGTACCTGTTATGGCGGCAACTCTCTTCCGAAGATTGTTTAGTGGTATTAAAACACCTTGATTCTTATGTTCCGCTTCACAGAACTCTTTCACCTTTAATATCATTTCTCGAGCCGAACTTTTTACATCTTTTGGCATTGTAATCAATCTTTAAAATGCACTAAGCTAGTTAAAAATTCACAAAAATCTGCCACAACAAACGAACTTGATAACATCGACGAATGACAACTTTGCCGACCTGTCAAATTTAGTTCCAAAAATCACCGCGGGACTTCTTTCATGAAAATCAATACTACTTAAGGCTCTGAGGTCGGGCCGGCCAGTGGTAAGAATAGTGAAGAATCGTCCCTTTATTTAGTTAATATCGTTTTAAATAAATATTCTCCAAAACGAGTGTAACCACGGAAATTGGAAACGTAGAACGTATTTTTGAAGTTATACTTCTTTAGGCGCGTTATGAAAAATTGATGAGAGTGAAATTTTACGATGCGCGCGCACCGTGACACAAAATTAGGAGTGTGATTATAGCGTGCGCGAGCGAGATAGGAATAAGACAATCTACAAGTAAAAAGAAATAGAATATGCGTGAAGTTCGTATGCCAAGAATTTTGAATGACCATAATGACATTTGTCATTTACCTTTTAAACAAATAAAGGAGTTTTAATTATTTTTTCAAAGAAATTTAGCAATGCTTTTTGAATTATATATAATCAGAAGTGATTTAAATTGAATATTTAAACCAATACTAATTAATATTTGTGAAAAAACTGTGCTCATCAACCTTCCTAAGTGCTTCATTACAATTGAGGTTAACTATCAGTTTGTATTATTATTATCGAGTAATGTTTTGATTAAAAAAATTACCACATTGTTTAATCAAAACATGTAATTTTTCTCTAGCAAATATAAGGACAAGAGACAAAAAACAATTGATGAATCAGTGTAAGTGCACTAAATTGAATACAAAAAAAGAGTTGTCATCTTATCGCTGTGAAACATCAAAAACTGGAGGTGGAACAAAGCCAAACTATTTTTAATATTGCCAAAGAAGTATAACTTCTTACGCGCGTACATAAGTACACGCACCCTTTTTTTTTTGAATGAGTGTAGCCTCTTTGACTCAATGAGTTCATTAAAAAAAATTTAATCTACATAAAGAGTATTTATGAATCATTTGCAGCACGCTTGCGGAGCCTTCATAGCTCTTCTATCCTTATTAATTTTCAAGGTCGTATAACCTTGCCCACCTGTCATGTTTGCGTGTTATAAAGTAGGCGTCAATAAATCCACTTACACCAACGGCTTTTCTCGGTTTTCCTCTCTTGCTGTGTAGCGGAAGTGAATTAGTAACACTTGTTGGCTTCGTGTGTGAAGTCAATGCAGAAGTACTCAACGATGAGCCTAGTGTTTCCACCATATCCAATTCGTGATCGTGTCGAAGAATTATATCCTTTGAATATTAATCTGAATTATATATTATACAACAATCCTTCATAAATTTTGTTAGTTACAAGGATGAGACAGACGAATTACGATGACGACAAAGTAAAAAAGCTTACACTGCCAAAGAATAAAACTTGTAAAATGAGGTAGAGAAACGCATTTAAAACAAACACAAAGTAAACTATCACTGCTTAAGGGTGTTAAGAGTAACCGGCAGATGGCGTGGTTTTAAATGCGATAATATTGTTTTGGAATGTTAATTATACATAGAAAAAAACCTTTAATTTTTCTATATCCATGTTAATCTTCTGTCTTGCCTGCGTTTCCGCTTTTATCTCATCTATGAGAAATGACCAATACTTGTTCACTCGAGACAAATCTCCATACTGCGTTTGTGGAATATATAAGAAGATTCGTTTGGCTATGATTGACGGCAATAGCTGCAACTGCAATAATTAGTTTATGACCTTGTCTAGTTTAAACGATCAGAGCACCTGCTAGTTGTTAAACTTAAATATTTTTTGAGATTTAGATTGACCATTTATTGTTACTATTATACAGATCTAGAAAAGTATAAAAAATATATCTTCCTATTTTGTAATTTACAATAATTATAAGTATTTAGGTTATGTAATGTTACAATTTTAAGTTCGTAGTTCAATTTCTGTCTTCTTCTTTAATGTGTCTATATAAAACTAAGAAAAACAGTTAGAGAACGAAGAAAATATCAATAATTTCTTACAAAATCAACAGTTTCGATGTTTTCAGGCTTAGGTCGGTTCACCTTCCAAACTGTTCTTTTTGTGTCGTCTTTGAAGGTTATTTCTAATTCTTCCAATTTAAAACTATCGCGAATAGCTTTTATCGTAAAGTTCCAATTGGCTAAGGCTGTTTCCAACTAGAAAATAATTTATTAATTCATTTGAATACCTATTTTGAAATCTTTTGGTAAGTATATAAACAAAGCATGATTAGTATTTTAGTTATATTTAAGTCAACAAACAAATTTCTTGACAAAAGAAGAATATGTCGTACTCTCACATATTTAACCTCGAATAAAGAACTTCGGTTACCATTACCCGAAAATTTAAACAATAAATTTACATATAATGTTCTAACAAAATAATATACATATATTCAAGAAGTGTAAGAGGTAAAATGAGTTTTTACGATTGCAACGAATATACTAAGTGTGTTGTATGTTGTTGTGTGTTGTCTGTGACATTGCAATTTTTAGTTTTTACGCATCTGTGGAAGCGAAGCCCAGTAATGACTCACTTTTTAGTTTTGACTTTTGGCTCCGTGTCGATAAATTGTGTATCTATACAATTTCGTAAGTAACTGCATAGTTCTACGAGATTAAAATTTGTATACCTTATTTACAACAGTTTTATAATTACATACCGACCAATCCTGTATTCAAATTTAATACTAAATTTTTAGAACATTTAAAGATATTACTTCTTTTTGAGCTTGTCCGGGAAGAAGTGTTTGTCTATTCTCTTGCCCTTGGGAAAAGGATCCCTTCCCGCGCGGAGTATCTTTCTTAGGCTAAAACATTGAATTAATATTATTTGCTTTTTGAAGTTATACTTCTTTAGGCGCGTTATGAAAAATTTATGAGAGTGAAATTTTACGATGCGCGCGCACCGTAACACAAAATTAACAGAATGAAGTTGCCCACGGAAGATGCTACGGCATTGGACATAATTTAAAAACAACATTCGAATAATAATAGAATTTATGTTACACTTAATGTAAGAGAATAATAATAATAATAAATATTTATTTATTTAATTTTTCAACTGTAAATTGAACTTTACTGACTATATTGACTGCTTTTCCAGTATTTGTTTATTTAATTGTAATTAATTATTTGCATGCAATCAAAAACTATTTTAAATAATGCCAAAGAAGTATAACTTCTTACATAAGTACACGCACCCTTTTTTTTAAATATTTCACAAATAACAGTATTAATATTTTAAATATAATATATAAATCTAACCTTACCTGTTCAACAACTGGTTTTGCTTTCTCCGGTTCATTAACTACAGCGTATTCGATAATTTCCTCAAGCTGTTTATCTCTATGCTTTTCATATATCATCTGTGCTGTTCTAAGAATCTCCCAGATTATTGGACCTCCAGCTACTGTCAAAAGTTCCGACAGTACGAGAGCTTGCTGGGCCTTAAATATATTTAAAACAAAGCCATAATAGCCTTAACATAATATTTCTCATTTACTGTCTATTAAGGAAACGTTTTAAAAATGGTTCTTCTGTATGTAAGAAAAATACTGCAAACACTGGCTGGCTGCTATTAAGCAATAAAATAAATAATTACTAAAACAAAATCGTCTAGCCGTTTATTTGCCAAAAATTGTAGAAGAAAATGCACACGTAATGACCGCTCACGTAATGTTGTCGATAGTTTTCTTTTGGCAGTACTACAAAACGTTGAAATTAAGGATCACTGGTCGACGTGTTTTTAAAAATAAACTTAATAATTTTTAATCGATTTTAAAAACCATAAATCTGCTCAATGATTATGCATTCAGATTTGCCAGCAAAATCAGTCAGTCAGTCAGTATTATATATAAAATAAAATATTTAACCTGAGTCGAATATATATACATTATAGTTTAAATATAATAATTATTTAGTTACTTTAATGGGTATATGTTTTAAACTTTAAAATAGCAAAATAACATACGGGTTCAAGTCTCGAAAACCAATTTTGTTCGTTTATCATGGCATCTTCTACCAATTGTACTGGTAATGCTGTTCTATTGTTGTCCATTGGGACTTGATCATAGCTGCTCCATACTTCTTTGCTGAAACGAAAACATACTTAAACTAACGATTTTACCCTGCTAAGCACTCCTGGACATTTGTTTCTTATATTTATTCTTAAGCCTATTTTTATCAAGGGTAATGTAGGATTCTAATGGTGAAAGAATTTTTCGAATCGGTCTTTTAGTTTTAATATTTCCGATTTGTTATAATATTATGTCTATTCTAAAACAAATGCTGCACTCCAAGTCACTGTGCAACTTTATTTATTTATTCAAGAAGGAAAGAATACAAGTTATAATTAGAGAAGTATCCTTATTTTTTTCACAGATGTAAGAAAAACAAATGTACAGTTGAAAACACAACTAAAACAAATGTTAATAAATTATCTAATATATTAATTCCCGTGTCCACAATGTTCGTTCCCATACTTCTCCGAAACGGTATAGGTTTTGAATGAATAATTAATTATCTTTGCAATTACAAAGTTCTATGTCAATTTAATTTTGCTCTTATTTAAGTATATAATAAGTAAAACAGCATTTTTATTTTCGATAAACATTATATAGTCCTATAATAAGATATACCCTATGACTTAAGCATTAGCCCTACTAAAACAATATTTATAAAAGTCATAAGTGCGATTACTGAACTCATAAAAAAGATACATAGAACCTTGTAATAGTGAGCCAGCGAAATATACGATGATATCACGGCCTTGGCACGAACACTGTCTGTCTTCAGGACTCAGGTTGTGAACTCTGGAGAAGATTCGTTATACCTAAAAGTAGCACGGCGAGTTAGCCTTACCCACAGATTGAAGAAACAGCATCTTTAGGTCTACAATTCCAGATTGATTTCAAGAACAAAGATAGCGTCCAGATACTCTTTACATCTTTTACAAGCATTAACAAGAACCGCCTCTTATTCTTCCACGATAACCTTAGAAACCAATACTTCGAAATGAGGAGATGTTTACTAAACTCTATTGACTCTTCATAATAGTCCTTCTTACCTGAAATTAGAAAATTTTGGATTATTTATTTATTATTAATAAAGAAGTAATATTCCTTCGTTTTTCTCCTATTCCTACGATCCCTTACGAATCTTGCGCAACCTTTTCTGGCACTCAGCATGACACTACAATTTCAAGAATGAATTCTTTGTCACACATTCAATACTAATTATGATTTAAGGAAAATACATTTCCAAAGAATCAATTGGTAGGACTGGATGGTACATTATTTTTATGTACCATCCAATCACGGTTTGTATGAACAACTATAGTCTCTTCTTTATACAACTTTTATAACAAAAATATAAGCTCCTTTTAATAAATATATAGCTGGGTTTTGGATTGTTGAAATATAAGTTCAATTTTGTACCACCTCAAGCAAAAGCAATAGTGACAGTTTGATTGATGATATCTTATTATTGCGGGAAAACATCGTTTCACTTCTTGGAAAAGCTTAGAGAATCGCCACATGTGTGATAAAAGGTACCTAATTTCATTTTACTCACTTTTTATGCACTAATGTATTGTTTAAACTTTAAAGCCTCATAAACACACTAAAATCAAACATACCAAACTAGCTAAATATTTACTAGCCACCTTTTTTCAATTCATAATGCACTCACAAAGTAGATACTTACCACAAATCATTTCAGCCAATATTAATTCATCGATTAAATTAACTTGCTTTGAAAGATCCGCAAAAGAAGTCATCTTTTAATAATTTTTATTTTTAGTAACGTCGCAAATTTTATAACTGACAATCATTTGATAGATAAACAACAAAGCAGACACTTTCAAAAAGTATTACACATGAAATGAAACTTCACAATTTTCTTCGTATTAGCGTTTAATAGTACATAATATTTCTTTCTAATACTCGCATTTCCTAGCTCGTGGCTCCCAGGGTCAGCCTTACAATAGCTGTTATATAAGTATACAGCATCATTCCAGTTACAAATCCGACGTTGTCAGTCGTTGCGATGACGCGAGCAGAAACGACACCCCAAACAATTTCAGTTAAACCAAAAAGTGCTAATTTGTGTCGATTCATTTGCATCATATCAATCACTGTGGTTGCATCTATTTCCTATGTTGTTTATAGAAAACCAGCCGATTCATTAGGAGACCCGTCTGATCAGTTCATAGTTAAGAACATCCCGAAAACCTTTACGAGGCTAGAAAGTGTTGAACCTGAGGATAGGGACGTGTTCAAGGGTTTCCAAACTTCATTTCTGCCCCATGAGGATATAATTTTAACACAACGATTCGAGACTGATTCCGATGTTAGAGATTTTGAGTATACAACAAATGAGCCGTCAAAGAGGATCAAGCGTAGAAGCCAAATAGCGTCTGATGATGATGAGTAAGTCTGTAAATGAACATTTTCTTTACTGTACCAATTATTTTATTCTGCCCTATAACAGTAGGGACCTAGAATATTATTCAATTTTGTCTACATTCGATCAATAATTGCTCGAAAATAAAATAAAAAATTGTGATTTTAGAACAAATAGTGAACTATATCTGAGGATAGTATAAATAAAGAATATCTATGTGTTAATCTTCTGTTAGTTGCATACCAAACGATCATTAGAATGTTGCTATTTAGGTTAAGGATTAAAGATGTAAATTTATACTACAAATACGCCTTCAAAAAGTATTAATAACTTAATGCAAGTACAATTTGTGGGTAAATTAAAGGTAGGGGAGCCCACGATGCTAAATGGGGATTTACTCGAGCGTCGTAGAGACCTATTGGGATGCAAAGCTTAGATAATAAGAAGAAAAAAATGTTATATGATATATACCTTTTCATCGGTGGGGGAAGCGGCTATAGATTATTAAATATGTAAAAAAAACTGTTGCATGGACATCCTCGAGCGCGTCAGATATTGATAGCATCAATGCCCTACGTATTTTTAATAATGTACGTATGTTAATCTGATCGTTTGCATGATGCGGGTGGTTGTATTTAAGGGTTGAAAATGAAAAAAAATAAAATTATCGAGCGCGTCAGATTTTATAAGGGAGTGTTAAGTGCACCAAAAAAAAGCTCTCATTCACTAATCTGACGATTTCGATGGGACGCAAACCCACGGCCATTTTCATAATTTGCAAAAAAAATCGCAATTTTGAAATACTCAAGCGCGTCAGATTAAGATATATGTGGTTCATCTTTATGTTCTAAACGAACTGTCTCATAATCTGACGATTATCTAGAGGGATTCGCCTGATCTGACAAAAAAAAAATTAGAAAAACGGTTCACCTAAAGGGCCATCCCTGCAACTTCCCGCTAATTCCATTCCTGGGCGCTTAAAATTGATATTTTGAGCTCGCTGAGTTCAAAGAAATAATATTTCCATGCATTTGAGCTCTCCCAGCTCGAAAGTCTGATAGAAGTTTCATAGAACACTATTTTTGGAATTTTCAAACCGCAATAACTTTTGAATGGATCAAGCAATTTTCACGCGGTTGGCGGCATTCGACGCAGTTTTATCATCCTCATAAGTAATTTTGCAATTTTAATTGATCGAACCACAAATTTCGGAGTAATCCCGAAAAAACACTTTTTCGGGTTTCTTTCGTTCACGATATCTCTCGAACGAATCAACCGCTTTTGACCAGCTTGGTGGCGATCGACGTGGTTTTTCAAGCTCAAAGGCGGATTAGTTTTTGAAGTTGATCGATAAAGAAACCACTTTAAAAAAAAATATTTCTTATTTTTTTAAGATTTTTGAAAAATTTCTCAAAATCTATCGGTCCGAATCGGTTCAAATTCACAGGAAATGTAATTTTGAGGGAAATATTTAGAACGCCGTTTAGTAGATTCCGATCGGTTTAAGGAAATGTAGGCATCACGCAGCTGCACGCATTTAACTTTATCGACGAATTTTTGTTATTTCGGCTTGCGGAAATCGTCAGATTATATATTTTTCATTATTCTTGAATTATTTCCTTCAAAATAAAAAAAAATTAGCTACGCTCGAGAATGTCGAGATGACGTTTTTTTTACAACTTTGTTGCCCTCCCCTTTTTTACGTCACTTTCAAATTGTCAGATTAGTGGAATATACACTTTTTAGGATGTAATTAACTCACCCTACCTTAATCTGACGCGCTCGGGAATTTCTGATGGTCAATTTTTTTTACTAATCTGATCCTGTCTCCTTCACGGGCGGCCGTGAAGGAGACAGGATCAGAATATGAGACCCATATATGTTCTCAAATATGAGAACATATATGGGTCTCATATTTTGTGGAGGTACTTAACCGGGTACAAGGTATCCCCCTATATATTAATCTGCCGCGCTTTAGTAAATCCCGAAATCCCCTCTTGGGCTCCCCTACCATAAAGGAATTCCTGCATAAACAAAAAATTAAGAAAACGTCAATTTAACGCGTACATGTACTTTACCTTGGATTTTTTGAGCCAAACAACAATGTAATTTTTTATTACCAATTTTTTATTCGAAATAATTATTCATATATTTGTTTACTATAATTACTTGTTAACCTATTTAGGTTATATTGCTTTAGACGCGATCATCGCATCGGTCACCGTTCAATGGTCGTGAACTCTTTATTTGACCTATCATAATTATGTGCATCTACTAGTTCTTAGCATAGGAATTACTTTAATATTTACTATTTATATTTAAACTCCATATCACAATCCAACCTACCCCTTGTTAACGACTGTAACCAAACGAACAATTTGTATATGAAATTTCCACTTTCAGAGAAGATGAATCATTGCAAAATGATAAATATGAAGAGGGTAATGTTGGTGGTTATGAGAATGAAGAGAACTACCAATACGATGACGATAGTAAATTACAAAGGTATATTGATTCGTCTTATATTAAATTGTTTGAAATTTGCGAACATACAATGACATATGAAATATTTTAAAGTTAAATTAAAAAGTCGATATCACCACAAGTACTGGTTACCAATTCTTAAACAGCCGGCAACGGAATCGCGTCCTCTGTCGTTGTAAATGCCCATCGTTAGGCTAGGTTAGACATAGACATAAATTTTATTACTTACGAAATTCATACACAGAAACATACAAAATAATAATAATCAAAAAAGAAAAATAACAAAAAAATAAAATTAAGGAATAAGGTACGTTTTAAGTGTGTAAAGTGTGTGTAGCAACTGGCCCTGGCTCAGCATTATGTGGAGCAGACGTGTTCCACAGCGCTGGTCATTCTGCCAGAGACCACAACAGTCAGCCGTTTAACAATACCCTTTAAACGATAATGTAGAGAACGGAAACAGATGAGTCATGATTGTTATTATAAATTCAGTGTACTACATAGGAAAAAAATAAAATAAAATTTAATATGTTTATTATGGAATATACAGGGATCATTTATTCCACTTCATTATATTTGAATCGGTAGACATCCCTACTCATCGGCAAAGATGATAGAGAATAAGAAGTAGCCTGTCTAGCACTAGTCCCAGGCACTTTTATCAACTAGATAATCGTTAACTTTATAGTAAGCTTTTGACACAGCTTTTCTTTAATACATTTCTTAAATTTATTAAAAGGCAGAGATAAAAGAGCCTCTAAGAAGGGATATTTATTCTCATAACTTTTCATATTAAGGAACTATATGATTACTGTCGAACTATGAGGAAAAAATGTTATCAACATAACAAGAATGGTACTCAATTAACTTGAATACACGGTGATGGAAAAGATTGTTAGGAAATGCCTTAGCCCCAAAAAATCGACGTCGTGTCTCAGGCACAGAAGGCTGTTAAGCTAGTTGCAAATTAGAAAAAACAAATGATCATAAACAGATACAAAAATCCGACGCCCAGATCTAAAAGGTTGTAGTGCTGTTTATTTTATAAATTTAGCACTAAAGCTCCAAATCCCACGACTATTATTTTTTAGCACTGACTGTGTTTACTATTTACTTTAGTGCGGCACATCCAGAACTATACGTAGACCGTGGACCTCTAGACGATGTGGAACAAGTTCGCAGACAACCTGAGCTCGAGGAAGGAGAAATGAGTTCAGGTGCCCATGTATACAAACAAGTACGGTCTCATACAGGTGTGTGGTAGATATATAAATAATCTTCATGTATAAAATTTAAATTGAGCCATGTTTGCCTAGTGGCTTCAGCGTGAGACTCTCATCCCTGAGGTCGTAGGTTCGATCCCCGGTTGTGCACCAATGGACTTTCTATGGCATTTAACATTCGCTCGAAGGGTGAAGGATAACATCGTGAGGAAACCGGCTTGTCTTAGACTAAAAAAGTCGACGGCGTGTGTCAGGCGCAGTAGGCTGATCTCTTACTTTATATTGAGATATGATCGTGATACAGATTCAGTAATCTGAGGCCCAGACCTAAAAAGGCTGTATCGCTAGTGTTTTATTTATGTTATACAATTTTAAAAATTAAATTCATTTTTTAAATTGTTTTCCTCTGTGTTTTTTTAATGTTTCCGTTACTTTATGGATTACTGTATTCTTTTTCGTATCTCTCAGTTTCTAAAGGTGCGCTTACACGAGGGCAATAATTGCTCGGCGACACGAATGGACCGATCTGAGCAATTTCAATAATTTCAATAAGTTATTTCGGCGATATTGCTTCTAATTGCTCCAGATATTTCATATCGCTCAATGTCGCAGATACGAATTGACGAATATCCAATGGACTTGGAAATTCCTAGAAATTTTTGTATAT